CAGATGCCAGCAAGGAATCAGATGAATCAGGAGGAGGAGGAGGAAGAGGAAGAGAATATGGTAAAGGCAGCAGAGGGGGAAGAGCCTCCGGCTCCGGACAGTCCAGGACAGGATTTACAGTTGGTTCAATGAAAGCCATCTCACTTCCCCGAACCCCCTCCCCCAATCCACATTCCTCCAAAACCTTTCTATTTCTACTAAGAGACATAAACGCTTGCGCATACATCAATTCCTCCCATTTACCATTCTGCCGGCAGAACAAAATCAATTGTAAGATAGTATTATAATTAACACTTCCCTCCGGAGGCCAATGTTCTTGATCATCTAGCTGATAGCGTGGCCATGCAGTTTCACAGAAGAATTTAGCTTTCTTCCTAGTCATAGGATCTCCACCAAACTCTGCCCAATGTCCCAATGCACAAGAGAGGGGGGTACATTTCCTAACCTTACTGTTAATAGTACCCATCTCAGGGCTGCCTTCCCGGTCCTGACCGTCCGACTTACCTGGGATCCAGGGATCTGTTCTTAGTCCTCGTCCTCACAGGGGAAAAATCACTGGTCTTGGACTCGGGCCAGACAGAATACTTACAGAGATAATCCCAGGCAGGCGTGCTGACGGTAGGCCTTATGCCCTTTCTACCCTCTCACCCAGGTGCCTGTTACTGATACTTTCACTCTATGGCTTTGCACCGTTAGGCTACTGCCGCCTCAGCAATCCAGCTCCCCCTGAAACAAAAGTCTCACCGGGAAAAGAGATCCCGGGGCGCGCCTGACATTTGATAAGGAGGAGCTGTGTCTGGTCGTCAGCTAGTCCCGGCAAAGCTATCTAAGGCAGTCCCATCTGGGTCGCCACCTACTGTTGAGCCCCAGCTCAAGTCTGGGATCGTGCCCGGTATGCAAAAGCCAATAAAGATACCAGGGCTGAAAGTATAAAGATTTATTGCTAGCAATACAAGGTGCAAGCGGAATAATTTCACGTAACAAGCACACAGAGTCTTAATTATGAGCATCTTTTATACAGGAGGATTGGACCTTCATAAGCATTCTTGTTTGCTAATTGGTTATAAGGGAGTGATGCAAGGAGTTCTTTACTGAGCATGTCTCTATACCTGTGTTTTAGCTATGTATCTCATTTCCATACATGTATGTTTCATTAGCATACTTTCTCCCCACCTAGGGGTGTGATTCTTAATATTTAAATTAGCTCTTTGCCCTAGTCCTCCAATTCTGCTTTTGTTTTCAAGCCTCCTTTATCTAAGACTGTCTCTTCCTTATCATTGCAGATGGGCATTAGTTACATAACAGAGACTTTTGCTTGGGCTTTGTATAGTGGTTTCTAGGTCAAACCTGACACTGGGGCTGCAGCAGTGGTGATCCTACCACCTGGAGCCTGGCCAGCAGCCAGAGCATGGCTCTGGCTAGCCAGGCTCCAGTTTGCAACAGCACGCAGTAACCCCGTGTGTGTTACCACACATTTTTTTCTTTTCTTTTCTTTTTTTTGTGTATGGGGTTTTTTGACCCTGGGATATCCAGGGGTCAAAACCTCCCCCCCTCCCCCCCAATGCTGTTACCTTGCAGCACAGAGAACAGCTGAATGTGTGGTATGTGGCACCGCAGATGCATCTGCAGTGCCACATACCGCACAGCTGCACTTGTCTGGATGCGGCCCAGGGTGCTGAGGCACGATGGTTGAGTATCACTGGTCTATATAATACACTAAGTGTGAAAGGGTGTTTTTACATGTGCTCTGGGGGTGGGGGGGAGGAGCACTTTAATTAGAGCAGCTCCAAAAGCACCTGGAGCATCCGTGTATCAGCATCCCCCGCTTCAAAATGGCAGTGGGGGTACTTTATCTAAAGCTCATCAAGCAAACTTTAGTTAAAGCAGCTCCACCACCATTTTGAAGTGTGGGGATGCTGATACACGAGACAGAGACTGATTTGAGAATAGCCAGTACTCAGCAACTTTCCCTTAGCATCTCACGATGGATTGAAGGGCCTGACTCTGAACACTCGCACATGAAAGCTGTGGCCTTTGTGAACTAACTTGTGGCTTCTCTCTTGGGTGGCTGCTTATGACCAATTTCACTTGAATTGAGTTTCATCTTAAAAAAATAAATAAAATGAAGTTGGGTTTTCAGTTGGGTTTCTTTTTGGGCGATGGTGGGATGGGCGCTTGACAAAATAAAAACAGCAACAAAGCTGAAAGGATGTAGTTCGATTGTCCATAATGCAATCTATTTTGGGTTGCAGCCTTATTAAAATGTAGATAACATTTTTAAATAAAAAGCAAAAGTGTTTTGTTTTGAAAATGTCAAAACATTCTGGCTTTTTGAAAAATGTGTTTTTTTGGCTGGAAGCATTTGCCAAATTTGAGCAGTACTTCAATACTTTCAGTCTTTTGAAATAGCAAGGACACCACTCTCTTACCACCACTCACTTCCCAGAATGTCCCCTGATGAGCTATGGCTCAGTTACGGCCAACAATACACCAGTGGCTAGTTATCCAGTCAGACAAGAGGGAAAGGAAAGGATGTAATACAATATATTAAAACTCTCAAAGTAGGAAAGGGATAGAGCCAATTCTTTTTGTAAGAAAAAATGTGCTTTATAGAGCAAAATGCATTTATTACCTCATTAAGAACAGCAACAGACAAAAGGAAGAAAAAAAAATTCAAGACAGCCCTCCAGTATGAAAAATCTTTTTAACTGGAGCTGGTGAGATCTAATGTAACCGTTGCAGCCTCTTGGTGGGAATAATTGAAATACTTTCACCCAATTAACAGGCTGATTGTACAGAGGTGCTGTGTACCTGCAGCTGAAGTCTATGGGAAATGTTGGTGCTTGGTACTTCAGGGGAAATACAGACCAAATAATACTGCACAGACGTTTCCATTGAGGGTCTTGTTTCCAGGCTGGGAGTGATGCACAGTGCAGTGCTGATTGTGGGTCACCCTGTAACAGCTTTTCAGCACAAAGGTCAGCATAAAGGCTTTGCTGATGGACTCAGAAATAACTCTATTTATTATAGGACAACCTTGTTATATAACAAACATCATCATATAACAAGGACATGCTTTTAACAATCCCAAGAGCAGGAGACAACTGTTTTCATTATTACAATACAGCAAGTTGACTAACCCTGTGATAGCAAACTCCCTCTTTTAATGAGCTTCTCCTCCCTGTCCTTGGGGGTTCATAATAATGAGGTTGTACTATCCTTTTGGCTGAAGCTTAGTTTGTATGGCAGGAACCTTGGAAAGAGGGACAGAGGTGTGGTAATCCAGGCTGGATCTGTGGGAGGGGTCTGGCATTGCTTGGAAAATCTCAGACAGCTTGGCAGAATGCCCTACTCATTTTCTGGTGACCCTGTTCATAGCATTCCCTAGACAAGGGCAAGTTAATTATCCTTATTAGTCATGTTTTCTTTTCTAAACAGGAAACATGTCAGGAACAAGCTCTGCCTTTCTCACAATTAATTATTTAAACTTAGGGTTTCTTTTTCTCTTACCAACTGTCGAGGGGTGGCAAGCAACCTACTCTTTCCACAAAGTTCCTCGGGCAGCATTTTCATTTGGAGATCCTCAAAGCATTTTAAAAATGTTACACCGGACTGGGCTACCGAGTCCAGCCTCTGCAAATCTTTACCCATAACCACAAGGAACAATATCAAAACCACAGACCTTCAAACAGTCACACAAGGTAGGTAAGTGGCAGCATCCTTGTTTTGCAGATACTTAAATACAGCACCAGGAGACATGCTTCAAGTCAACAATAAATCCATGACAGAACGGGGAATAAAATACAAGCCTCCTACCTCTTTGTTCCCTGTTCTGATTATCATACTGTACAGGGCACCTTTGTCTCCATTAGACGTGACATAGGAAAAGGATATTGCTATATTTAAAGGATAAAGGAGGTGGTGTGTATTACAGTTTCTGCAGGGATCTACAGCACCCAAATGCATGAGGCCTGTACCAGTACTTAGAGAGTCTACACTTGGCATTTCACTTGTTTTAGCACACATGCCATGCTGGATGCTTCTCCCAGGAGGACTATCTGGAGATGTCACAGGCTACTGTAGCGACAGTAGATGTGTAGATGTTAGGGTCGGATTCTTATAGGTACAGATGAAAACAGCAACTTTTAAAGTTAAGTGCTACAAATAGATGCTCCACCCAAGCTGTGGTCATCACTCTCATATAACCCTGACCTGCAGACGGATTGTTAATGAATTGAGCTCTAGAAAAATGGAAAAGTGAAGATTTATATCCATGTCTTCCTTTAAAAAAAAAATTACAGACTTATCCACCTGTTCATATAAAGCACTAGCAGGAAACCCACTTTCATGGTTGTGGGACAGAGACACAGTGGACACTGAAACGCTCAGACGCTCAGATGAGCTAAACATACAAGTTTCTTATAACGAATTATCTGTGTAATTGAATAAACCTCTCATTTTAACCCAAAGAAAGCTTTAGGAGTTTATTATCATTAGTTATTGGTATTATGATAGCAGCCCGAGCACCAAGATGGAGGCTCATTCTGTTAAGCCTCACGGTACAAACACATTGAAAGACAGTCCTTGCCCCAAAGAGCTTACAAATTAACTAAAAAAGATGCAGACATTTCTTCTGGGCCAGTGAGACTGAGCAGCCAGGTATGGGACCTATACAGCACAGCAGGGCAATGCCCATGGATTGACAGCTTCACTTTGGGGTCAGCCAGGGACAAGGAAAAGCATTTCCAACCCTGGAATCATCATCATACCTGTCTTGACATGCTCCTTTTTTTGTCCTCATTTTTAGATCCCTTTCCAAACTTTGTTCCACAAGGATCCCAGGATTTTGTGGATAAAATTGTAGCCTCACTGAACTCAGTGGAAGTTCAGTGACTCCCAGTGATTTTGATGGTGCCATGATTTCATCCCATCTATCCATAGTCCTTACTAGGATGTAAAGCAGCTATTTTATCAAATGTTGCATGGAGAAGGAGCTCTGCTCTGCTTCTCCTCAACAAAAATATCAACCAGTCCTGCCTCTGTGCCCTAGAAGTCTCCCCTAAGGAGAAGAGAGCTGAAAAAAATGTGCAAACTCAGAAAGACCACAAAAGGACAGAAAGCTTTTGGCTCTTTGGATTCCTATTTGAAATCTTTGGGTTTGTCTTGTGACTCATGTGTAGGTGTTTGCACACCTGACAGTGCTAATATTGAGTGGCGTCCCACAGCACCCTTAAAAGGACCTCATAGCACCCTGGTTGAGAATCACTACTCTAGTGGCCAGCTCATGCAGGGACATATCTATGCAGCTTGACTGCCCTGACTTCGTTAACACAAGTACCCATGGAAAATGGAAGGCCTGCTTGGGCAGGAACAGGCCTGAGAAAGGTCCTGACAGACATGGAATAGATTTATTTTGGTCACAGGAACAGCAACTGGCTGCACATTGTCTTAATTACAGTAGCATAACTGGTGGGGGAGCAAGTGGAGCACCTGCCCTGGGTACCAACTATGAGGGGGCACCAGGATCACCCCTGCTCGAAGTCTGCCATGGCAGTCCTGAACTGTCTCTGCCCGGCTGTAGGAACCCTGCAGGGTAGCGCCGCACCAAGTGTGCATCAGGGGTGAGGAACAAGTGGAGTGAGTAGGATGGTACTCCTTCCCTGCTCCCAAGCCCCAGGGGAGCATTGCAGCCTCATGCCCAATATGTATGTATGGGGAGGGAGCAAACAGGGCACTGGCTCACAGGGAGCCAGGCCACAGGGCTGCTACAGCTAAAGAGGAGCTGATGCTGCTGTACCCTGGGAAGGAAAGCCTTCCCTTCCCCCCTCACCCATGTCCATCTTCCCTTCCCCACCTCTTCCCCTAGTCTGTATTGGTATACTACAGTGGTAGATCCCCACCCCGGCTACATCTCTACTTAATTAAAAGAAAATCTTCCTGAAGAAGGGCCACTCCTAGGACTCAAGGAAGTAAAACATGTGCTGGTCTCATGCCTGCTCCATGCACCTGCAGGAAATGCATCTACCTCACAGCTGGAGCTGTGCCCTGGACTTCCAAGGTCTCAAGGAACAGGCCACCAAGAACCCCCACTCCCATCTTAAAATCCCAAGGTCCTGATCCACGTGGAGTTATGGTAGTGATGCAACAGTGTGTAGAAGCCAAGAGCTGTGCTGCTCTTCATGTACAAGGCATCAGATATGCTCTAGGGCACACCCCTTCTGGTTGCCTGTTGCAAAGATCATACCTTTGCACTTCAGTCGGAGCAAAATACCTAAAAGCCAACACCCTGCTTGGCAGAGCTCCAGCGCTGACAGGCAACATAGCCTCGGGTCTGTCTTCAAGACCCAGAGCATTGATTTTGCTAGGAAAGGCTGAGGCCATGGCTGTCTTTAGGAGAGAGGGGTAGGTGCCAACAGTGACACTAATCCTGAATGCATGGGGCTGCCATCATGGCCAGCCCCTAAAGAGGCACAGGGGAAGAGCAAAGCCCTGCAAATAGTTTGGTTTGATTTTTCCCTGTTTGGATGCCAGTCAGGGATAAAAAGATATAAGTCCATGTTGACAGGCTGCTCTCAGAATATTAGTCATCCCTGTTCACACTGCAGAAGCACACACCGGGCCTGAGGTCTTGCTTGCCCGCACACTAGGGCAGGCTGCCAGCCCCCCTCCGAGTACAGTTACCATTGACCCAATTGCCCTGCCACTCGTCATCGTCTCTGCAAAGAAAAGGACTGAGAGTCTAGAACAGACAGTACAATTGCAAAGACGTTCCTGCAGCAACAGCACCACAGGCAGCTTTACACACTTGAGAGTCTGTCTCCACGTGTACTTTCCACAGCGCCAGCATCACAGGCACATGCCGTGAAGCCTGTCCTTTCCACTGTATAAAGTTTCCAAGCGGTGCCAGGAATAGCGCAGGACCCAGAGCTGATGAGTGTGCCTCAGTCACCTGGACTATCAGCTGACAGCACAGCTGCACACGCCGTCCCTGCTGCTTGTGGGCTGCTCTTCAGTGTCCCTGGAGGAATGGTGTTCTCGCCAAACATGAGCAAGGCATTGATTCACGTCAGAGTAGCGCTTTCTCTGAGCACTGCCCTGGTTGTCCCTCCTCTTGCACTGGCTGAGAGGCTCCCTTGTGGCAGCAGTTCCTGCCTTGGCAGTCTTGGTTCTCTTCTTGAGCCACAGGCCCTGGACACCTATGATATTCCCCAGTGCTATTTTGTCCTCCGTTTTCCACAGGGCAAGTTGGATTGATTTCAGCATACTTTTCTTTGTAATGCTGAGTGTTGCCAGCAAAAGTCTCGCAACGGTTCAGGTTTTCCTCTTGAACTGGGCTCCCCACATTCTCATTAGCTGCTCCAGTGGTGGTTGGTCCCTCCTGGGAGTTTTGACTAAGATAGACAACAATTATATCACCTTTAAAATTCATTACTTGTCCACTTGAGATAAATGTAGAGTTACTGTTTCCAGTCACATTTCCTGGGGAGAGGAGGGAAAAAGCACATACATGTGATTAATATTTTCTCTCATGAGATGAACAAGTTAGCTAAGTGAATTTGATCCAGTCTTGTAGTTTATTCTTCCTCCGTGTTCCTTCCTCTTTGGTGCCAGGTGCCTTTATAATCAAAAGTAATTTTTTGAGACTCACTTATCATCATCTTTCCAGCACTAAACCTGTCTTCCAAGAAAATCTAGCTGAGATATAAGGACATTTTTTTCTCTTTCAAACTGAACTTCTGGAGACAAGAGAGATTTTTCCTACATATTCTCATCTCCCTGTTACCTTGAGCAAAGCCATCCAAGTCTTAAATTTACTCTCAAGATTTGCAAAACTAGAATATACTGGAAAACGCTCCAAACATGACCTTTGTGGAAAATATTATCTGCCTCTGCATGCATCTTAGATATTTATAGAATGGTAATTTTCTCCCCGTGGCAAACAATTGACCTTATTATACAGGCTATGCAATAAGTTTATTGAAATAAAGTTTGAAAGACCTGAATAAGTTGTCACCAGGCTGTTCAGGTATGGATGTTAGCAGTGCTAGTATCCAATAACATGACCCTTACTGTTATGCCCAAAGGTGATGAAGAACGCATGAAATTTCACTCTATGGCCTAACTCTTGCAATTTGTTCCTTGTGACCATCTTTAATAAGACTTTATAGGGCACAAGCTTCCACCTATGCTGAATACATTGTGGAACTAGGCCTTGTATCATGGCTTGTTAAGTGTACCAGGGGTTTGGCCATGACAGAAGAGTTTCAGTAAAGCCTAATCCTGCCTATCCTTAACCCTAATAAGAGCAGGATTGAGCCTCATGAAAATTAGAAGCATCACTGAAAAAAATAAAACTTTCCCTTCCCTCCTCCCCCAAAAAACAAACTGAAGACAGGCTTTTAGCTCTACATTCTTAGCTCTCTCTAAGATGCATTGTTCCTACTGTAGTTTACTTAATGTGTTGTTATGGATGTGTCTCAGTGATTTTAGAAATTCAGCATGTTTTACTGGCCTCTTTTCAACACTTAGAGATAAACAATTTTTATAACCCGTCACGGCAGTTATTCATTGCCATTGAAGGGAAACCAGTGAACAGAATCTGTTTAGCACATTTCTATCGTGTAGCTGAATGTAGTATGGGATTCTTAATTGCTCATTCAAGGCACATTCTGATTTTTATCCCCGACAAAGGAACTGGTCAAAACTTCTCATTGAAATTTTGAATAATAGAAGGGGGGAAAAGCCATTTTGGTGAATTTTTTTGTGCAAGTTTTCCATTTCTCAGCCAGCTTGCTTTCTTAACTCTGACATGCCACAGCCTGCATGCACATTGATCTCAAGGGTTGGGTGCTCTGCCAAAACACAGTGTAAGCACTGGCAAAACATTATTTCTTGGGTGTTCCATATTTTCTATCCCAGCAGTTAGCAAGGTCCGGCAGAGGATGATTTGACTTATGTGGATGCGATTCAGAACAGAACCGCTGTTTAAGCACGCAGTGATGTTCCCACCAGAGCACAGCCATTCCAAGAACTGGAAAAAGATGAGCTCTGTGCATCTCAGTTTGGAGAAATATTTCATAATTCCTTACTACATGACTACCACTCCCACAGCAGTTAGATTTAACTTCTGGGAAATCAGCAACAGTGCGTGCACACTCAAGTTTCACCAGATGGCACTGTAGTATGTGAATGCACCTTAAGGTAACCGTGTAGTTTAGAGTCACAAAGAACTGACACAGACTAAGTTGCACATACTTTCTAAACAGGTATAATTCAGAACCAACTGCTCTACATTGCACCCATTATCCCTGCTGCCCCCCAATTTTTCCTGTTATCCTAGGACTTAAAAAGGGAAGCAACGTTCTGCCAGAGCCAAAACTGACATGCTCTGCAGGCACACCTCTCGGATGTCAATCATTTTGGTCCCAAAGGTACTCAGCTTTCCACAAGAGCTGTGTTACCTCTCTCCTGTTGCAGAAAATCATTGACATCAGAAATAAAGAATGGGGAGAGTGAAGTGAAAGAAAACACCAATGTTCTAAGAAAGATTCCTCCAGCATTTTCAAGTTCCTTCCATGAAGGATATTTTGGGGAGGGAGAGGGGGGTTCTGTAGCACATTTGGCTTCAGCAGTTCAAAGCTTCCAGGGTACCAATCTATGTTTATATAGATAAGAGATTAATTATTAGTAGTATCTGTGTTACAATAATACTTACGAGACCCTAATCAAGGCCAAGGACGTGGTTTAAAAGCATTAAAAGCGGGCTCCTGTCCTGGATAAAAGATGGTTTAAGAAGGCTAATGACCCACAGAAGGGGAGGTGGTAGAAGTACTATATATAGTTGGTAGAAGAACTATATATAGTTTCAGTGTACAGTTTTTCTAAAATGAATTATGAATAGATTGAATAAACACTTGCCTTTTATATCACTGAACTGGCTGAGTGTTTATTGGCATGAGAACCAACATGGGCACTAATAAGAAAACTGAGGAATCAAAATGTTATGTACAACTTTCAGACAGGAATTTTGTTCTTATTCACTTCCCATAGTTCTAAAAAAAAATCTTATTCTTTGTTGTGTGTTGGATGCATTCAATAAGCAGGCTCCAGAATTGTTACAGGAACTGAAGTGTGTAGGGGTGGAGACATTGCATCCGATTATCTGTGCAATTATTTCTTTCACATGATTGAGAAGTTAATTGTGGTGTTTTACAGTAAAGAGAAAGCATCAAACACTGAAATATTGGTTCCTCTGTTCCCTCGTTCAGTTATATTTCTGTTGACTTTAGAAACTGGCAATTCTTATTGGAGGTAAAATGACACCATGTTAGGAAACAGAAGTGAGATGAATTCACGTGGTTGTGCCACCGAATATTTCAATAACAAAGCTGTCTGGTTTCTGCAGTAGGGGCCACAATTTGGAGTTTTCTGGGCTGGGCAGAGAATAACGACCGGCACCAGCATAAAACCTCACTGGGTACAGACTATTTCCAGAAATCACTAGAACACAAGTGTCTTTGGCTTTTTCAAATCAGCTGCCAGGCCTGTAAATGAAAAGACATCATTGTACTCTCACCTGTCCTTCCATCAAATTAGACCTTCTATGGTGATTCAAAATAAAATAATACAGGGAAGGCACAGGGGATAATCCTACATGACCAGATGGAGCTCATGCCTACCAAAGAGGAGCCTTACCTGATGCAAGAGGGAGGTCTGAGGTGTTACAATTAGCTCCTGAAGTACTTCTGTTTGTCTTCTGGTGCTTTGTGTCAGGACTGTCAGAGGAATCATCTTCAATGCCTTGATCACTTGCTAAAGTACTCTGACCAGCAGAGAGAAAGTCCAGGCCACAGGCACATGGATAAGGTCCATTTTCTGGAGAGGCCGTGGTGCTGCCTACTGCTGGACAATGGGGTTGCCTCCCCTTTCTGGGAGATTCTCTACATGAAACACCACACCTTTTGCAGCTGTACCCAGAGTCAGGGTTCATCCAGAAGTGATCTGTATCCTTGTTCTCCGTTTCCTTCACATGAGTGTATGTACAGTTGCAAGACTGCTGCAGACTTTTGTCTGAGGATGCATGGATGCAGTCTGCTCCATATGGAGCATCAGAGCTGTAACAACCTGCCAAGTCCACCATGCTCTCAGTTCCTGTGAAGCACTGACTCAAGCTATCATTCTCCCCAACCTCCAGTGGCCCTGAAAATGGTGATAGCGATTTGCTGTCAGACTGGCTCAATAAAGGGAAATAACCAGTGGCATGGGGAGCTCTATCTACGTATTCATCCTCCATGGGACCCTGCCTGAAACGGTCATCTTCCAACTCGGTTACTAAAGACAAGGTTGTATTCTCTCCAGATTCACAGTGGATTGCATCTGGGCTACTGTTTCTACATAGAGCATGCCCATTTGGGCAACATGCGTCTTCAGAACAAGAACTGTCAGCGTGGGCTAGCAAACACATTCCTTCCGAACGCTGAGGCCTAGTAGTATTTGCCATGTTTGGGTTCAGGCAGGGATCTTTGGGGGATTCCTAAATAAAAGAAAAAAAAATGTTTGTTAAACATCTCCTGAGAGCATTTTTTTTGCTAAAACGCAGAAGAAATGAAATTTACAAAAACTTAATCTTTATGTCACTGAAGTTCAGCAGTGCCATGTACATTCAAGACTTAAAGTGTAATTCTGCTCTTGTGAGAGACTATGGGGTGGAGGGGAGATGAGGAGGGGTGTGTTCTGGCTAGATTCATTGCTAACATCTAATCAAACACACCTGGGCAAGTCTCTCTGAAGAACCCAGAGATGTTTTCAACTTTATTTCCACAGATCTTGCTGAGGGCACACTTGTGTTACTGGAGATGATGTATGTGAAGGAAAGAATGAATCAAGCCAGCCTCAGGGAACGCAGACTTGGAGCTAGAGTTCCACCCCGCAACTTTTAAACTAAACCTCTTTGACATGGAAAATGTTGAGAAAGAGAGAGAGAATAAACATGGGAGCATTTAGTGCCATTTTTAGAATAATTTTCCAGAGCAAAATTGCATTTTAAAGTAAAGGAGGTTTTCCTCAGGATAGCGGACTGTGTTGTAACCACTAGACCACCTATTGACTTTCATTAGGTAGTCTAGTAATTGTTGAATGGTTAGTAAGAAATCTGTGGCCACACGTCTCTGTACTGAGAAACAAGGAGAGCTGACTGGGGACTTTTTGAGGAAACATTTTTGCGTCAGAAAATGTTGATTCACTGGAATTGAAACTTCTTGCAAAAAACACACACGTTACTTTTGACCAAAAGAAGCTCTGTTGGGAAAGTTTCCTCAGATCAAGGATGGAATTTCTGGTAGAGAGGGAAACTCCTTCCAGAATAACTGAGACTCTAGTGTGCTGACAGACATGCCGGTCCTATTCTAACTCATGGAACTTCACATAATGTGCTATGAGTTAAAGTAACCCCCTGACCCAACACAAGTTCATCTGTTGGGCTGGGGGCGGGGGGAAGGAAATCAAGATCTACTTTGGAGACAGTCTAGTGGAGGAGCCTGCCTGCACCTCTCTTCCTTAGCCCCTCCCCACCCTCTCCCAGCTCTGGTGCTATCCGCAGGGAGGAGAAGGGTTGAGGGCGACCTGAGCTGGATAGGGCTAAGCAGGGGGCACAAGGTCGGGGGGGGAGGGGTCCAATCTGTCCCCTCCCACTCAATCCCCAATCTGGCCCTTCAACTCAGGCCAGGCAAGCCCCAGCCCGAAGGTCCTTCCTCCTTCCTTCCTGCAGACAACACTGGGGGTGGGGCTGGGCTGCATCAGCCCAACCCCAATCATTAGGGCTGTGCAAAACAGTACCATTTCGTTTCGACTTCTGTTTCACTGTTTCAAAGGGACAGTGTTTCGTTTCACTGTTTCGAAGCACTGTTCCATTTCGTTTCGTCAAAACTGTTTCATTGTTTCGACGCATTTCAACGTTTCGCCCATAGGCTATAATGGGGAACCATGAAAATGACTATAACTTTGTCATTTATTGCCTGATTTGGATGAAAGTTGCAGGAATGGTAGCCCCTTCTGAGGGCATGAAGTCTGACAAGATTCAACAGGATAGGTGCAGGGTGTTTTGTGCAACTACAACTCAAACTGTTCAAGCAAAAGTCACATCACTTGCTGGCAGCAGCAGCCTGCTGTCATCCTGCATACAGATCGGGGGGCCGTTCCCCCTGGGAGGAATCTGGCACAACCCCACAGACCTCTGGAGAGCACGGGCCCCCAGATCTGTGCACGAGATGACAGCAGGCTGCCATTGCTGGCTGGGGCCAGCGCCAGCACTGGGTTTTTCCCAGTGCTCAGCATAGGCTGCACTGGGCAGACTTGGGTGCTGGTGCTGGCCCCAGCCGACAGCAGCAGCATGCTGACATCTGCATTCTCCACAGCCAGTGAGTGCGGAGCTTTAAAAAAGCTCTGCACTCACCAGCTCTGGCAGTGGTAATTGGGGCCTCTGAGGGCTCATGGTAGAGCCCCCCTGTGCAGTGCAGGGCAGCAGAAATTGCCCCCCCTGCCGGGCACCCACATGGCAGCTGCCCCATGGCATGAGTGCAGAATGGGTTGGCAGGGCACTGTGTGCTGTCTCAGAGCTGGGGTAGGTCCATGTGTTAGCCAGAGCTCCCAGTTCAATTCCCCAGCTCTCTGACCATTCCCCCAGCTCTTCCTCAGGGGCACAGCCCCCTTATCTGCATGCGGGGTCTCAGCAGGCTGCTGCTGCCAGCTGGGGAAACAGCCCAGAGCCACCGCCATCCCCAGCTGGCAGTGGCAGCTTGCTGTCATCCTGCATCATCCAGGGGCCCACGCCCCCTGGGAAGAGCTGGGGGAAATAATCAGAGAGCTGGGGGAAAGATCAGGGAGCTGGTGAATTGAAACAGGCCCCGGTTTGATTCCCCAGCTCTCTGTTCATTCCCCAAGTTCTTCCTGGGGGGCACGGGCCCTTGGACCTGCGTGCCGGGTTTCAGCAGGCTGGGGCTGGCAGCAGCACTGAAGTCTGCCCCAGCCTGCAGAAGCAGACTGCTGAAACCCCGTGTGCAGATTGGGGGCCCATGCCCCCTGGGAAGAGCTGGGGAAGCAATCAGAGAACTGAGGAATTGAACTGGGGGCTGGGGAACTGAACCAGGAGCTAGATGTCAATATCAGAGCTGTCCTTTCCCCCTCTTCCCCCTTCCTCTCCTTAGTTTCTGTTTAGCTGCAAGCAAACTCGGCTTCGAAACTCGAAACATTTCAAAACTTTCAAAATGTTTCGAGTGCCCTCATTTTGTTTCAAAGCTGTTTCAAAAACCTTTTGTTTCATTTTGATTTCACTGTTTCGAGCTCAAAACACATTGAAACAGCTTCAGAATGAAACATCTGTCAAAATTTCGCACAGCCCTACCACAATCATGCTGACAGGCTGACTCTAGGGAACACAAGTTCCCTAAGGTACTCCACTTTGAAGCACCTTCATTTGATCCCTCAATTAGATATGGGCTGATTTGTCATGCAATTAACCACTTTAAAGTGCTCTGCAGCCATGTACATGCATCACAGCTCAGCTGTAGAGCATTTTCAGAAGGGCTGATTGCACAACAAATGTCACTTCTGTCCGTGTCTCTAGTGATTATGGCATTCACATGGGATAAGAAACCCAAAATCATGTCCCTGCTCTGAATCTGTCACACACCAATACCCAATAGACTATTGGCTCTTTTGGAGTAAGATTCCTTCTTTTTTATTTTTTTTTATTTGAAGTTTTGAGAGAGAGAGAGAGAGAGAGAGAGAGAGAGAGAGAGAAACATGGTATCATTTCTTACTAGAATAGAAAGAAACAGCGAGACCCCCAGAACTGTTGGGTGAAATAGAAATCTTGTTTCCAGGACAGCTTTAGTATTGAGTTTGTTATAAGATCCAGGAAAGGAATTAGGAAAGCACAAAAACAATTTAAAAAATTACCTTTTTCCCTTTTATTTGCCTGCATAGTTGATTCGCCCAGTGCTGTA